ATATATATATATATATATATATATATATATATATATATATATATATATATATATATATTTGTATTATTTTATATATAGTTTTCTTAAAGATAGAAGGATTATTTGTCAAATATAAAAACAATTAATTTATTTAGATATAAATCTAAAATAGCTTTTTATACACATATATTGCATATTTAATAATTATCTGTTCACAAACAGCTTTACATAAATATTATCTTATAATTGCATAGATATAAAATTCTCTTTGTACACTCACGCTTGCATTGAGTATAAAATTATAAAATTTTCTTACTTTAATGCATATTTTCCTATACTTTTTATTCATGTTTCACTCTACACAATGCGATATAAGATTTCTTGGTAGATAAGTCATGCCACCCCACTGGACCTCTTTCACAATCTGCACAAGCTAGGTACTTGATATTATCTACTGTGTGTGATACGCCAATATTTTCAAAGGTATACATATCTTCCACTAACCAATAATCGGAAATGGATTCTGGTTGGTTGCCTTCACCGTCTCCCTTACTATGTATATAAGGCAATGCAAACTACAATAAAAAAAAATTTTACATTAAATATAATTATTTGATAGTTTAAACTATTTGAAAAACCTTTAAAATAATTTCTTGTGAATTACAAGAAAGTTTAAGTAGTAGTTCAGATAACAGTACATTACATATCATTGATTTTATGTAGTATTATAAAATAATAACGTATAAAAATATTTATCAACGCGCGATTATGCATAATACACGTAATGCTAAATAATACATTAGATAGTTGTAAATTTTTTATATGTGGAAGCGTGATTACATTTAAAATACACAGTACTCACCTCCATGTTTATCAATTTAGCAACCCCAGCATTAAGCATTTTTGAAGGACAGAATGTACAATAAATTTTATTTTTGTTTTTTCCATCCGCATCTTTCTTTGCATCAACATCTTTGTCCATTGACATAGTGTTTACTTCGCTTACAAAATAAGTGTCAATGTAGATTGGTTAGTCGAACAATTGTGTTTACAGATGGGTAATAAGCGACAGATAAATCGATGTCCACAAATCGGCATAATAGCCTTAACATCTAAGGTCTATTCTTTTTAACTGAACTACGTTTACTTTTTGGTGTCAGAGAAAGAAATATATTATCAGCGTCGAAAAGAAAAAAGGAACAAAGTTTCACCACAGTTGCGTTCGAGAAGTACACAACTAGCAGTGTTACCGCGGCTCCAAAAATTTATCACCAGATTTCTGCTTCAAAAATCACCAAAATACAACTTTTTTCATCAGATTTTTTTAAATATATATAAATTCGAATAAAAAAACAATTTTAATGATTTTTAATGTTTTAATAAACATATTTAAACATAAATATAAACAAAATTAATATAATATATTTAAACATTCATGAAAATATCAAAATATACTCGTAAATAGAGGGAAAGAGAAAGGAAAACTTATTTTGGGTGTTTCCGATAATAGGTGCTTTCCAGCTACGTTACACTGTGTTACACAAAACCAGTTTATTGATCACATATTATCTAAAATATCTTGTAAGATAATATATGACCAATAAACTGGTTTAGTGTAATACAGTGTACGTAGCTGGAAAGCATCGAATACCTCTCCGAGTCATTTTTCTAGAGCAGAAATAAGTTACAAACATCACTATCTATTATTATTATTATGTAATTCATGAAAATCCAAAGCTACCTAATGCTGTCTCACGACTGCAAGCAGTGGGTAAAGCCCATATTAGACTACCGACTGCACAGGCCGACCCGACTGCCGACTACGACTGCCGACTCTCAATGGACCAATCACAGTGAGGCGCTAACTCGGCACATCACTGTGATTGGTCCATTGAGAGTCGGCAGTCGTAGTCGGCAGTCGGGTCGGCCGGTGCAGTCGGTAGTCTAATATGGGCTTGAGACGCCGAGTCGGCCTGTGCAGTCGATAGTCTGATACGAGCTTTAGGTAGCTTTGGGTTGTCATAAATCACATAATAGTAGTAGATAGTGATGTCTGTAATTATTTCTACTCTAGGGAAATGACTCGGAGAGGTATTAAGGCCATCACACACAAAATTACATAGATGCATATGCATAGCATAAGATAGTATGGACCAATGAGCATCGAATATTAAGTATCAATCATCAATATGGCGACTTAATATTCAATGCTCATTGGTCCATATGATCTTATGCTATGCATATGCTATGTAATTTTGTGTGTGATGTCCCTTATCGGAAACATTCATAATGGCTCCTGCACACAGGACGCGGTAATGCTTGCCGCGCGGCGGAAGTCCGCGCGACAGCCAATCAATATGCTGCTTTCCGTAATAACCTTCTAGCTCTTACGGAAAAACAACATATTGATTGACTGTCGCGTGGACTTCCGCCGCGCGACAAGCATTACCGCGTCCTGTGTGCAGGAGCCATAAGGTTTGTTCGAGTTGCTTGTATTATTCACACTTTTACACCTAATGCCCGTTGCATACTAGTGCACCTCGTACAATACAAATTTTCCAAAATACGTTCTACATTCAGACGCTTTTAGGATGAAGGGATGTCATCAGAATATTTTTAGAACATCCTTTGAAGATGTGAGCTATCTGAAAATAGCTAATATCCAATAAGTTTATTCGCATTAATTGAACTTTTTACACTTTCACACTTAGTGCACGTCAATGACGTCTTGATTTCTGTTCGTATTACGAAGAATTTCTGTTCGTACATATTTACGAGTGTAAATGTAATTCTGATACACTTTTTACACTTGACCCCAAGCAAGGGGTGCGTTCGAAAACACTGAAAGTCCACGACGGAAAGTGGCTGTGGTGGATGGGCTTTGGTGGGGTTAGTGGAGTTGGTATTGAGAGGAGTTTTCGAACAGCCATGGAAGAATGCTCAATGTGACATACTACATGTGTGTTGTGCCTACATATGTGTTGTACAAAATGGCTGATCGAAAACGTATTTCGACATTAGCTATAATTGCTTCTTAGCAAAATAATAATAAATTAATAAATTTAGTAATTAATTAATTAATTAATTTAGTAATTATTAATTTATAATTTAGTTATCTGGAAAGTTAATTGGCTATATATTTCTCGGTCCGAGAACTCGGATCGATTTCTAGCATCGTGGGCACCAGGCCTAAGGAAATTTATAAACTTATTTATTACTCCTTACCTTTAACATCGTATATATAGACATTTCCCTTGTCATCCTTTTGTATATTTTTTTAAATATCCATGCATAAAATATGACGACCCGAGATTAAATTTTCCATTTTTTTTCACAAATTGTTACTGATTCGTGACTTTTAACGTGCCTCGTATCTCGTAAGAAAATTTCAGAACCTATAAAATACAAAAAGCTTAATAAGCTTTATTTATATTTAAAGACAATATTCTGACAATATACATCACTATAGAAATAAACCTAAACCTGGCTAACCTACACTGCTGTATTTAAATTTTTTATCTTACCGTGATGGCTAATGGTTGTACGAATGTTTCGAAGAACAAAAAACCATAAATAATTTAGTAATTTCATACTGTATTGCACTCTTTGCGCACTCTCCACCATCTCCACCGATTCACACCGCGCAAAAGAGAGTGGAGAAAAGTCACACGAGTGGTCCACGGAGTACGGTTTTCGAACGGCCATGGTCGCATGGTCAGTGTGCCCACTAGGGGTTTTCGAACGATCTGAGTGTGACAAAATACACACGGGTGATGTTTTCGAACGCACCCAAGAGTGAAAAGTGTATCAAAATTGCATTTGCACTCGTAACCATAGATATAGAAATATAGAGATGGGGCATGAGCCGCGGGGTGGAAGCCATTGCGAGGAGTGAGACGAGGTAAAACCTTCCATACTTCTATTGGCTGTTGTTTCGCGCATGCGCCAGCAACACTTAGTAGCGCCAGTATGTATCGTAATATGTATGTGAAGAAAAGGTTATTCGGCGAGTGTACAGGACCAGTTTTACAATCTCCGATTATTTAAGCAACAAATTATTCTATTAAAATGAACCAATTGCATTTGTCATTAAACGGAATGAGCCACAATTAACTGACCACAATTGACATTTAATCTGTTTGATGAAATTAATTGGAAATTATAAAACTGGCTCAGTGTAGTTTAGTAAAATGTTACAAAAAATAAAGATATTGATACGATTGTATAAAAAAATATAATTTATTAAACATTTGAACAATTAAACTTTGTATTAAACCTTATGAAATATACAGTTTTAATAGTTATAACTTACATTAATGCCGCATATATTAATAAAGAGTATACGTTCGCACAGTTTGTTTTTACATACCTTGAAAAAGTACAAGTTTATTAAATATATGACGGTTAGTTTTAGACTTATTATTAATCGAATTTAATGCTAAATAATGCAGTTTTATTTTAATATATTTCTGAATAATGGCCCTTATTAAATGAATTACTTGATTTTCTAATGGTGATTGATCGTTAACATGATCTGTTAATTGCTGAAATAAATTGATATTGAAGAATGACCCTTATAGAAATAACATACTAAGAATTATTGATTAATTACTTATTTTCAGTATTAAAAGTACAGTATTAAGTAATATTCTGTGATTCAAATACAGCTTTTAGTACTCAAGTATTTCAATATTTAATGTTACAAATCTTATCTTATGATTGATTTCAATACTTAAATATTGATATGTAATACTTCGTCCAGTGATAAAATACTTACGCAGAACATTGTCAATATTTAAATACTAATATATAATACTTTGCTAAGTGATGAAATACTTATGCAAAGTAATGTTAAGATTAAAAGTATTAACCCAGACAGCATACAATATTAGTAAGTTATTAGATAAATATTTATAAATATTTATTTTGAATTACTTTTTTAAAATATATAAATATATATATATATATATATATAAAATATATATAAA